TGATTAAGGTCTTTCCGTGTTAATCAATGTCTAATTAATAATTTACATAATATTTCAGGCCTACAGAAAGACGCCTTCAATAGGCAGGTTTAACTCTAGCATAATCGTGCTAGGCAGGTAGGGTTTGCCTACCCTGTCCCCATAACTGCAACAACAAAAGAAAACTAAAATGGTTGATAATCTTCGAATCCGATGAGGTTTCCTAGCATGGTATAGGGGTAAATGTGGCTATGTACCCTCCCTTCCACAAAAGTTCACTCATTTCTGGAAACGTGCCCTAGTTTCTGAAAAAAAGTGCACTCATTTTTGAAAAGGTTCTCTCGAATTTCGAAATACTCATGCACATACCCGCGTCAATGTCATCATATCCCCACTGCCCCATTGACAACATTGTGCCCTTCTCCCCCACCCCTTTCCTGCTGCCATTTCCTTGTTCTAAACAGATCCAGCGATACTAAAAACCAAGCTCGTTCAATGTACGTACATGCATCATCGGTCAATCCTTCGAAATTGCCAGGCACGGGGTAGGTAGGTCTCGGCCCTCGGACCAACTGTCTTCGTTGGTCCCCCCCCCCCATCGCTGTGAAGAACACGTGACATGAAAACGAAACTAGTTTAATTCACTATTCGTGCACCTCACTCATGGATCATTTTTCTCCTCGGATTGAGACCATTATATTTTTTCAGTTGATACGAAGATCAATTTTAGTAATTTTGACAAAAAAAGTGGCGGGCTAATATTTTGAGAGATTTTTAAATTCAATCGATTTCCACCCGGCCGGAATTAAGCGGGGTTCTGACCTGGTTGCAGAAAGGATCCCCAGTTTTAAAAGGAGTCCCCAAATTAGTTCTAAATATAAATATGTATATATATACAATACTGACATTTGGAACCGACTCTAATGAAACTGTTGATACTTGTTTTCTTTCTTAGTTTGTCGTTGGGGATCACGTGGCTAAGTGGGTAAGAAGCTGGCTAGCTAGCCTGGAGATTGGGTGTTCGATCCCTGCATTGACCGAGAAAGTTCATTCAGATTTTCCGGCGTGGTTCCCCCTTGTCAGTGATGCAGGACGGAGGGCCTGACAAGGACAGCTGTCTAGTCGTGCGGATGGGACGAAAAACGAGGTCCCGTGTACACATTGGCGTGCACGTAAAATTGGAATTCGATATAAGAGTAGGCCGTAGTGCCGCTGCCCGGGCAAAATTTCCCTCATTGCACACTGTATGGCGTATGCCCGTCTTCATTAGCCCAGTTTAGGAGCAGAACAGTAGGACGTTAAACCCCATTTCATTTCATTTCATTTGTTGTTATGGTAATGTTGACATCTTTAGGACTTCGCCTACTCATAATCTCTCAAACAAGTGTCAAGGTCATGTCTCTCATATACGTCAAATCGATTCTAGCATGTGCCATAGAACCAAATATTTCCCGGTGCTAAAGACCCCTAAGCGCAAGCGAATTATTGAAATAAAATTAAATCATATGTTAGTCCTGAAATGACCTAGTTTGTGTCGAGTGGATGTTACCCCCCTCTCTCTCTTCTCTCCCTCTCCCTCTCTCCCTCTCTCTCTCTCTCTGTCTCTCTCCATAGAAATATACTCAGTGTATACATAATATATAATGTATATGTTTTATCGTCGGATCTATATTGTTCAAATATTATTCTACTAGATTGGTCAGATCAGTAAATGGAAATTTATAGATTTCACCCGAATGATCTCGAATGATTCTTTCCTTTTGAAATATATATTTGCACTTAGATAACTTAGATATTAACTGGGTCAGTGTACCCGAAACAATGGCGAGACTATCACCATGTTTATAACATCCATAATAACTGAATAATTGAAAATTCCACCATTAAAGTAGCTAAGTCTCTAACTCAATATCATCCAAATTCTCCAATTTAAATCAACATTGATGTTGTGATCTTACAGGGAAAAGATGGGCTTCTTATATCCAATATTCAAGACAAAATAAACATTTTACCATTGGTACACGAATCGTGTACCATAATGCTTTTCATCGTCATTTGTAACAAGGGACTCGAAAAACGAGGCTAGGCATATTCCACAAGTCATGTCAAATGGTGACGTCATATTCTCATCTGGAGAGCATGCGCAATAAATACTATCGGTGTAGAGACATACTATCATACTATTGATGACCTTTACTGGACAATAGAGTACTTATTGAAACGTTGCACTAATAAAGCTGCTGGTGATTGTTATTTATAAAGTTTTGTTTTGTGTTATTTCAATGTTCTCCTGTCACTAAATGTCTTACAAACAATATACAAGGCATACTATCGCGAATTTCATTGATCGAGACTAGCTAGGGAATACTATCGTCAATTACGGTACATTGATCGAGAATAATTAACACGCAAGGGAATACTATGTATTGTTTAATGGTCGAGAGCGAGACATTAAGTAATATATTGTAACAACATGAGGGCCGTAGGCCCGAATGTTTTTACAATATATTACGCAATGTCGTAAGCTCGAGACCATTAAACATCTTAAAATACTGACACTCAGCACGAGCTTTTACGTCACATTAGTCCAATATCTCACTGGTTTGAATAAAGTACTATTGGCAAGTTGCCCGTACGATTATTTGAAATAATGGTACGCCAACATCAAAGGGTGACGTCACATCTGTATTTTAACGTCAATTACGGTACATTGATAGAGAATAATTAACACGCAAGGGTGTGCTCTCGTCAATAAACATTGATCGAGACTAACTAGTGACGTAGTAATTAACAGACGAGGGACACACTATTGTCAATTACACTGATCGAGACTATATAGTGCCGTTTATGGGGCACGGGAAAACTATGACTAATTACATTGATCGAGACTATCTAGGGCCTTAATTAACGGTAAGTAATTAACAGACGAGGGTCATACTATCACCAATTACACTGATCGAGACTAACTAATGACGTAATTACATTGATCGAGACTAAAGTAATTTGACTGGAATTATCATTCTTCAAATACTCATAACTTCTCTCAGAATAAAGTAATTTGACTGGAATTTTCACCCATAGCTCACTGCATGGCATATGATCGTACCCATTAGTCCAGTTGGTACGTTAAACCCCATTTCATTTCATCATTTCATTTCATTTCGCCAGATCAGTTTATCTTTTAAATAGCCTATCTACATGTATTAACCAAAATCTAATCTCTAAACTTAAGTTATCCAAAACAATGCTGCCAGGATAGTTAGTCAATCATCCCGACGGTCTCACGTTAAACCCATATTGAAGGAACTACACTGGTTACCAATTCACTCCCGAATTGACTACAAACTTCTTTGTATTGTTTATAGATATCTTCATGGTTCCAGTCCTGCATATCTATCAGAGCTAATAAACCATTGCGTACCATCCCGTAACTTAAGATCACAAGATATGTGCTTATTACGTATTCCAAAGTACAATCTACAAACTTTCGGTTCTAGAACATTCCAGTATAGTGCACCCTTTTTGTGGCATTCCTTACCCCATCATCTTAAAGCAGCTCCATCACTTGAATCTTTTAAAACAAAATTAAAAACTCATCTATTTACCACTGCGTTTTAGTTGGAGTGGATCAGGATTTGTGTGTAAATAGTGACCATTGAGTACATAGTACGCACCTAGAGCATGCATTTGTGGATGGATGGGCGCTTTACAAATATACATTATTATTATTATTATTATTATTATTTAATCCGGGTTCGCTCCCGGTGAAGGTCGAGAAAGTTCATCGGGTTTCTCCGGGGTGGTTTCCCCTTGTCAGTGGTGCAGGACGGAGGAGCCTGACAACGACAATTGTCTAGTCGTTCGGATAGGACGAAGTCCCGTGTACACATTGGCGTGTACATAAAGATCCCTTGGCAGTTGGAATTCGATATGAGTATTCCTTAGTGCCGCTGTCCGGGCAAAATTCGTCTCATAGCACACTGAATGCCGTATGCCAGTCTTCATTAGCCCAGTTGGAGCAGAACAGTAGGACGTTTAACCCCATTTCATTTCATTTCATTTATTTAATCCCCTTTCTATTTATTTTAAATGTTTTCACTACGAAAGACGTAATTCTGGTCATGAGTTTGTATTTTGAAATCAGATAACTTCCAACTAAAAAATAGAATAATTTTGCCACAAATCTAATGATTGTGCGGGAATATCTCATCAATGAAATGGGCTGTTGTTTACCAATCTCTGTAGAGCTCTCTAAATAATTATCTTACAAAATAGTCATCTAATCGTGCCAAACTCTTCAAACCAATCCTAAGCACATTCCATGGAGCAAAAATCAACAGAATCCCGCCTTTTTAGGGCACGGTGCCTATTGTTCCTGTAAACATGACCTCATCGTGATATATCGAAGAGTCCGATCTGTTAAATGATTGGTGTATGATTCCATTATAACGATAACGTAATTTGGACCGTATTGATATTAATATGAATAGAGGAACACATTTTTGACACATTATTATTCACTACTTTACAGTGTCAACAAGCCTGTTGCTGGTCAACCCACAACCGTCTTGCTTTCAAACATTCGGGAATATATCAGTCTAGTTTATGTGAAAACCATACAATTTTCACTTCGAATTCTTGTGGAACTTAAATTTGGAAAATACTGAGTGATAAATCCATGTAACATGGTCGAATTATATATAGACATTTAGGGATCCTAAACTATCTGCAAATTTAAAGTTAGAAAAACTGTTATTTTGGAAATGGTTTGACATTTAGTTTAGTTGTATATTATTTGTTTAAAGTTACTTAAAGATAATGGGATGTTTAAAGAAAACCCTTCGATTCATCGGGATTATCAAAGCGATTATATCGCGATTTTTATTCGCTGGTCATGGATTTATCTGTATCTGGCGAGTGACTGTGATAAAGGAGAATCCAATATGGTGGTCGCTCGCTGGAACCCTTCCTCTTCTGTTTGTGGAAGCCATTTATACACTAAAGAAGAAAAAAGGAGGAGAATGGAAATGGTAAGTTGCAAGTTTCCGTAATATCAGAGGCTTAAAACAATTAAGAGAGAGGGGGAGAGAGGGAGGGGGTAACGTCCACTCGAAACAAACTAGGTCATTTCGCGATTAACATATTGTTCAATTTTACAATTTTATTTCAATAATTCGCTTGCGTATAAGGGTCTTTAGCAGCGGGAGGAAACCGCAGGCCCTGGAGACAACCCACTAGGTTGGACAGGCGATCCTACTCCTTGTGACGTACAACCGGGGAATCGAAATCACGTCAGTTGACTCAATGACAGACCTTATGATACAACGCGCACACGGTAATCATTCGGCCATCCAACAACCCCACCCCCGTAAAACAATTAAGATTCTGATGATTTGCTGTTCCGAATTCTTGGAAGCTGGACCAGACAAAAAAATCTTCAAGTTATTTTTTCGTAGAAAAGTGGGTCGTAGTGACTCAGTGGGAATGGCGTTGGCTAACAATCAGGTCCGTCGGAATCAGAGGAGGGCGGTGGCACAGTGAGTAAGAAGCTGGCTAGCTAACCAGGCATGGGCGTCACACATGGGGGGTCCGGGGGGGAGGGGGTCCGACCCCCCAATTGTTTTTCTTGGGAGGTCTGAATATACTTGGACCCCCAAAAAAATTTACATAGTAGGCCCAAACTCCTATTTATTTACAACAATTATTAGGATTAGTTAAGATTCTATCTGTATAAAACCTGTACATATCCCAATATGGTTTATACTGCTAAAATAAAACACAGAGATAATCATCCTGGAAACATGTGTGAAATGAAAAGTACCTGTGTTCCATAAAATTGTGTCTAGTTATCCTGTCAGTAATATTTTGTTATTTTTTTATGCCACTTATCAGAGTGAATCGCATGTAGGTACCGCAAAACATAACCGCCTAAACCAAATATTTATCGCCCGCTCAACCAGCAACGTAACGATAATGCTTTTGCACGCGGTGTCTTGGTAGACAGCATAGCCACATGGTGTTTGTTTATATTTTTTAGGGATTTTAAGAAATGGGTTAGGGTTAGGGTTAGGGTTGCGGACACCCCCCCCCCAATTATATATTTCACGGCTACGCCTCTGTAACCAGGACGTCTTGGGTTTGATTCCGATGTTGGCCTAGAAACTTCCTCGGGTTATTTCCGGTGTGGTTTCTCCTTGTCGGTGGTGCAGGGCGGAGGGCGTAGATTACATTCTTTTGAAGGTTAGGTCTATTTGATAAGGCCAACTTCAAGTTTGGTTAACGGTCGCTAGAGCTATTCCCAGCCTTAACCCTAACCCTGGGCCTAAACCTAATGCATACCCTAACCCTAACCTACAATCTCGCCAACAATCACGTGTCCTAACCTTATTTACTCACGAAAATTGAGTAGGCCTTAACAAATAGATTTAGCCTCTTTTGAGCCAAAAAAAATAATAGATTGGTTGGCCGAGTAGATTCTAGTCAATTCTGTCTGACCTAATTACATTCCAATGCTAAAGAATTCTATACGCAAGCAAATTATGGACATAAAGATATGTTAGTCCCAAAATGACCTAGTTTTTATTGAGTGACGTCAAATGTATTAATTGACACATTATCCAAAATACGTTCAAGCCCCTCCTCTCTAATAACTACATTAAAATATTAGAACCTGTTCATCGTTGGTGTTATTTAAGGAGCGCGTGGCTCTATTTTTTTGAACCATAAATGGGTCTAAAAGCACATAATAAAGATGCATTATGTATGATTTAGATAAAGAGCTAGCCATTCTTGCTATAATAGTTCGAAAATAGATAATATAAAATAAAAGATTTGAAAAGTTCATTCAAATTACTCTATTGCGAACGAAGATATTACCCTTTGAAGGTTTCACAAGACGTGTGCAATAATTTCAACCACCGTACTTGTTGTTCGAAGCTAAGTCTCACACCTCCATTTTTAGCTTAAATCAAAATATGGCTGAACTGTTCTAATCTATTTAATATTGGAGAAATCCGATGCCATCGCGAGTTGATTATGGTCTGGATAAGTTAATAAATGTCTAATTAATAATTTAGATAAAATTTCAAGCCTAAAGAAAGACCTGCAATTGAGTGCATATAAAGTGATCTATATCCAATTTAAAAAAAACAAATGTAATTTCTAATCAATTATGTTCGGTGAAATGCGCGAATAGTCCAAGCTGAACGGCATTCGTTTACGCCTAATTAGCCCATTCTTCACGGTTTTTATTATTATTATTTTATCATTTGTGAATCAGCCATTACTATTTAGTGCCGCATTGTAATTTAGGATATGTTTTTCTTTCTTCATTGGGTCTTAAATATTGGATATTAGGATCCGACATTTTCACGGCAACGTAACAACATCAATATGGATTGAAATGGGCCAATATTGAATTCTAATTTGTGTTTGTCGTTTCTAATATTATGGAAAATATTGAGTTAGAGACAAATTAATTAAATTGAAAACAAACTAATTCTTAGGGGCTTTTCCTCGGTAACACATCTTTAATTTTATTTTTGCATAACTGAAAATTTTCAAATTATTTCTTGTCGATTAGTAAAATCTATAAGAATAGATCTCTGCCCTATATGGCCGCCATTTCTGTCCTGAATGGCCGCCATATCCAAAAATTAGTATACATGTACTGTTTTGTAATGAGGTTTTACTCGTTTCACATTTGTCATACACACAAAGACTCAATAAACTTTTTCGATTCTATTAAATGGAAACAGAATAAACACTTAACAGAATTCTCGAAGTATACTTAAGGGCTTAAAGCGAGAATTTTATATTTTCTAAGAAAGTCAAAACATAATTATTTCTGTCTTTTGCTCAATAGGTTATCAACTCACTATTATACGATCATAGGCATTATTTCCCACCCTTAAAAATTATTGACACAGGAAATAATAACACAATTACCTCCATTGTTTTCCTATTCCCTCCATGTAATAGCTATGTTCAAACGTTTGAATTTGAAGTTGAAAATGATATTTTTGCCAATTTGTCAACTGGCAATAGTGAATTATAGGATTAATAGGATTATTCTTTAACAAGGTAGGACTGTGTATGGATACCATCAATTTTAAGGCTTTATTTTAATAAATTTTAAAAATATAACTTAAAAATATGAAATTGTAGCTTTAATATGTCGGTCAACTAGCTTAGTGTCTGTTTTCAAACGGGGATAACTGTAGACAGACAGCCTAAGTTTAGTATGATTAGTTAGTCGTGGCAATTGTGAGTTATAAAAACGTATTATTGAATATACTTATAGGGTTTGTCCAAGTGTGTTTCTATATCTGGCCACCGCCATTCCAGCTATATGGTTCCTGGAATTGGATCTACTCAATCAGAGGATAACACTGGAATCAGGTCGATCCAAAATAATTCGACAACCGGGAGGGAAAGCCAAAGTTTGGAACGGTGAGGTAAGAATTTGCATTCGATTGTTAGTTCCGGAATTTAAAGGTATTTGTTTTACGTCACGCAATTTTTAAAAAAATGAAATGAAATGAAATGGGGTTTAACGTCTCACTGTTCTGCTGCGAATGGGCTTATGATGACGGACATACTCTTATATCGATTTCCAACTGCCAAGAGATATTTTACGTACATGCCAAATGGCAATATATACACGAGACCTCGGTTTTTTGTCCAATCCGAAGACTAGACACCTGTCCTTGTCAGGCCCTCTGTCCTGCACCAGTGACAAGGGGAAACCATGTCGTGGCTCCTGATTTGTCGGCGGTACGTTGATGTATGAATAGGCTCACCAGTTTTGAATGATTTTTGTGGAATTGGCTCACCATTCCACATATAAATAAATGCCCTGCCTTCTAATAGTAAAGCGATACACGGGCCTATATACAGTATTTTGATATTATCTTCATTTATACTTACAGGGGTTTGTCCATTGCGGGCGGGAAGGGGGGGGGGGGGCTCCGGTGGGTCCAGACCCTCCTCTTGTCTTGGGCTTCTTCTGATTTTAAAAAAAATTCTCGGGTTATTTCCCAGATCTCATACCCAACTTGACGTTTTCTGCACCGTGTCCCCCCCCCCCCCCGCTCAAATTCATGAACACGCCCCTAGCCTATTTCATATTTTATTTCGCATTATTCTGAAACTATGACCAGATAATCTGTATATCTTTCATTCCAGCTAAATTTACCAATAAACCTCGTGCCTGATGATTGGTGTAAAATATTGGAACAGATGCTATTATTGGTTCTAATTGTGGGAAGATGGCTGCTACCTAAAGGGGAGATAAGTCGCGAACAACTCTCGCAACTTCTGCTCGTGTATATCGGTATGGCGGCTGATATTATTGAACTGTTTGAAGCATTTAAAGAGAGAGAAGTCAAAACGAACAAGATTTTGACGATCATTATCATGTCGCTGTGGACCGCCAGTCTGTTACAATTTACGTTCGTGTTGACTGCCACTAAGTCAAAACGGATGCGTCCAGTTCTTTTTCACGAGGCCAGTAACGCGAGTGCCATCTCTGTTGGCGGGAAATCGTGCTGTCCGACAGAAGTCATTTCAATCATGATAAGCGTGACCTTACAGGACGGACCATTCCTTGTACTGCGCATGCTCTTGATCTTCCGTTACAACGTCATCAGCTACACCAACCTCTTCTTCACCTCCAAGAACAGCCTCGTTCTTATTCTCCAGTTTTATCGTCTGTTTGTTCTTTTTTGTCAGACACCAGAACAACCGACAACTTTAATCATCGCTAACGACTCTGATGATGAAGACGAGGACGACGGTGAGGAGGAAAATGAGGGCTTTGGTGAAGAAGAAGAAGATGACGATTTAAGTGTCACTTCTTTGCCTAAACCAGTAGACTTATCAGAGCTGGAAAAGGGAACTTCGGATGATCAACCAAATAACAAAAAGCAGTCAGTCAAGAGGCAGAATTCTATTGGATCCGTGAAACCAATAAGCAAGAAATCACCAAAGCCCAAGGATAAAGACATCACCAAACACCAGAATTCAGAATCTGGAATCGAAGATGATGCTATTTCCAGCGGAAGTGAGGTTGTGAACAGCACCAAGAGCCCAAGAAAGGTCAAGGACAAGAGAAGTCAACAAGCCAAACAGAACTGGAAGAATGTAAAAAAAATGTCAAGCGCTATTTCATTTGTTAATAGTGCGGGGAATTCTAAGTACAGAACCGTTGTCTTGAATCCCAAAGACAAAGGAGCAATTCGATACGTCGTAGGCAAACAAAAACAGGGCAAAAAGCTTGGATCGAAAAAGAAAACGACCAAATCCTGAAATAATGATTTTAGCGCTTAAACGACACAAAAGTTTGAAACGGGTAGCAAAGGAGATATGAGAAATGGTGCCAAGGTCCAATTTAAAGACGTACAACCTGATCCTGCATTTTTCGGACTTGATCTCATTTTGTTCACGGTTTGATCCACGCTAGAATGTACTAAAACAAAACCAAAATAGCAATGGTAGACAATCTCACAGCATAGATTAAAACTTAGGCCCAGCAAAAGATGTTAGGGGGTGATGATTTGTTTATATTATCTGAAAATACCGAAAGGAATTGGGCCATTATTGGGTTGTTATTCGAAACATTGTACTTTGCTATTCTTTTAGAGTTAAAGTTTGGAACAATGTGACTTTGCTATTCTATTGAGGGATTAAATGTTCGAAACATGGTACTTTGCTATTTCTTTTAGAGATTAAATGTTCGGAATATGGTACTTTTCTATTCCTTTTAGAGTTAACGTTCGGGATATTGTACTTTTCTATTCCTTTTAGAATTAACGTTCAGGATATTGTACTTTTCTATTCCTTTTAGAGTTAACGTTCGAGATATTGTACTTTTCTATTCCTTTTAAAGTTAACGTTCGGGATATTGTACTTTTCTATTCCTTTTAGAGTTAACGTTCGGGATATTGTAGTTTTCTATTCCTTTTAGAGTTAACGTTCGGGATATTGTACTGTTCTATTCCTTTTAGAGTTAACGTTCGGAGCATGGTACTTTGCTATTCCTTTAGAGTCAACGTTCGGAACATGGTACTTAGCTATTCCTTTTAGAGTTAACGTTAGGATCATGGTAATTTTCTATTCCTTTTAGAGTTAACGTTCGGAAAAGTTGCCAGGGATTCAAAATGCCTCAATTGACAACCTGTGGCTTTAAAGATGCATTATGTAACACTTAGTTCAAGAGCCGGTCCCGACTTCACAATATTAAAGATGCATTATGTAAGATTTAGATAAACAGCTGGCCGTTCTCGCCTTGCTGTAATAGTTCAAAAATAGATAATGAAAAAGGAATATATTGAAAATTGCAGTCGAATTACTTTATTCTGTGCACAGTTATGATTGTTTCAAGTTTTGACAAGTATAGCGTAGTCTCGGTTGTCATTACCACGATAATAAACGAAGTCTCGATTTTCCTCTTTTTCTTTTCGTTAACCGATAAAATAGCGCGGGTGGTCTAATCCAGTTGATATCCAAGTCATCCAATAATCCAGATAGTCCATGTGAATAAATGTTTAGATAATAATTTAAATACAAATTTGGATTCAGAAATAAGACCTGCAATAAGCAGATTTAGCTCCTACATAATGCCTGTTTAAGTAAACGTAAATTGTTTCAGTGGCATTTAGTAATTAAACAGGGCCCTTATTCACGAAAACTTAAACTAAGATACAATCGAAATTTTAAGAAATACTGCAATTCGATTGGCTGACCAGTAAAATCAATTTGCATATATCCAATGAAGTTGAAGTATTTCTTAAAATTTCGGTTGTAACTTAGTTTAAGTTTTCGTGAATAAGGGCCCTGGAATATACAGGTGACAATTCTATGGAATACAATTACTGCTTATTACTAATGCCCCCGCCAGACCGAGGCGGCATCCTTACTGCGCCGCTGCGAACGTACAGTGACTAGAAAATGCACAATGTCGCCGGCAAACGTGAACACAACGCAAGAAAATGTCCCAAAATATTACAAACTTGAAAAAAGTCGCGTTCTTACAGCTTTCAAGGTCATATTGCAGGACCTTGCCGTTTGTTTTGAACATGCTCAAAACAAACGCCCGTGACTCGGCGATCATTGGGGAGCATGGAGTAACAGCACGATATCTGGCGTTTCCACCACGCTTTTACCGCGGTTATGACGATCTTGAAGCGCTCTGCGACCATTTTCCGTCGCCGTAGCGTCACAATAAGGACGCCACCCCGGTCTGATGGGGGTATGAGCGACTGGGTTTCTCTAGTCTCTGTTGCTTGATAAACGTTACAGTGATTGTATTGCATAGAATTATTACCTGCATATTAAGTACACTTACCAACATATTTAATCGAGCTATGTATTTATTTATTGAACTGTAATAACTTCGTAACATGTAGATTGTTGACTTCATCGATTAATTGTGGCTGTATGGAAATTGTACAAATATAAAGAAAAACCTTTCGATTTAAAACTATAGCATAAAGTCAGTCAGTTTTAGGCGCTATTTTTATTTAAATTTAACTCATGTAATCAAAACGATCTTGGGCCCGGGGGGGGGGGGGTCAACATGCAGTCTATGGATCTATGGGCATATTTGGGGTGGGGTATATCAGCTCAGCACGTAGAGTCAAAGATTGATTTGGGATTGGTTATATATCAGCTTGTACAGTACACGTGGGTGTATATGAAGAGTGGGGCTAATTACAAACCCGGTAGAGTCGGGGTCGTATTTACCTAGTTGTGGGCCCGGGACCAAACTCATCAGTGGGCCCCTAAATTTACAAAAATGTTGGCCGATAATTATTGCATTCGGCAAACCTCGGAGAGCCTCCGGTACCCTAAATCTAACCTCGACGGTATTACGAATTACTCCATTGGAACTATTTTCCAGTTCCCGGATTTACAATGGCGGCGCCCATGAGGACGCCTGTGAAGAGTGCTTTATCTCAAGAAAATTTACAAAACTTTCAATGTCTCTTTCAAGTTTATCCGATTTAAACTTTAAACAAATAACCACTATGCAATGCAAACTCTACACACTTCTTTCTAAAAGCGACAAGTTTTCCTAGCACCATCACAACTGTATGAGTGTAGCAACATATCACTTACCGCCAAACTGCCGAGGTTAAATGTAGGGTACCGGGGTCTGCCGAGGTTTTCCAAATGTACTTATAGTACAGGGGCCATTTTAGTTTTTGATATACATATATTATATAATGAAATATCTACTGAGCGACAAATTGATTTCAGTGGGCCCCAAGATATCCGTGGGCCCTAGGCCTACTACGCCTATTGGTAAATCCGACCCTGCGTACAGCCAACCGATTGATTTGTGAGGAAAGTTGATTTTAGATTATTCAGCCTGATTAAAACACAGATCCTATTTCGTTTCTTTTTTAAAGTTCAAAATCTCGTTTTACTTGTCTTTACTCTACTAGGATCTGGAAGAGTTGTTATATAACCAACGTTCTGGATGATGCGAGGGATTAGCCAATAAAACGGTATGTTAAACAAAGCTTTTTTGGCGTTAGGTGCACGGAACTGTGAGTCCAATAGAATATCAACACTGATTGGTTAATCGAATGTTTGGCGTCATAGGGTCAAAGGCCGCTCGTATGACCTCTGTCGTGACCTCCCACTACAACCAGCCAGCTCTTCGTGTAGTAGAGGCCATCGAAACTATAAAAAAAATTTAATCAGATTGTGTAATATAGTGTCCAGATGATAAAGACTACATTGTCCACAAGTGACTCTAGTGTCTGGGTAATCGGGGTGTAGATAATATTGCATTACGCCATGGATCATACGACATTAATAAGGTTTGCTTTACGATTCTGTACGAACGCATTATACTTATCCCATTGTCGTTTCATTACTATGTCATTTAAATTCAGCTCACTAGTTTTCATCCACGTACAATCTCGTACCAACAAGTGGAACTTGTTGTTCCATCGCGAAGCTTCGATTTTCAGAAACTCACTTTTGATATAGCCGGTTTCACAGAATTCGCGAACACGTTTCTGAACAGATTTAAAATACTGCACCTCTTGAAAAAAATCCGGACCTTCGTTATAAACTTGTTTCCAGAAGCGATCGGTAAAAAAGCTGTAGAGCATCTCGTCCGGTTTCTGAATGTCTCGTAAGATTTTTAAATCTTCTTCGCTGAGCGCGTGTTCGTCCTTTTTGCGATTCGAATTCACGACTAGATACACGATATCCCGGATGTCCCAACATAATTTACGTTTTAGAAGAATTAACGATTCGTCGAAATATTCGAGAATCATAACCAGGTCAAATTCTATATCCAATAGCTGAATATATCTGTTAATATACTGCTCATTGTTGTAATATTTATTTTTGATCCCGAAGTCATGCGCCATGTTGAGGTCGTCAGAGGAACTGGAGTTCATAATCCGCTTTCGTAAATAATTCGTAAAAACACCTTTTCTTGAAATTTTCGTACCGTTTGTTATTTTATGCAATAATCCAAAATAAAAAGCAGACGACAGAAATCTCTCCTTTGGATCTCGCACAATCGCCGTGTAAAAGGCGCCATTTTTGAACCAGCGTTTCAACTGTCGTCTGTTGTAAACAACATGGTTGCACAGGATATTAAAATCCTCGTCATCCGGTAAGGGAATTAATCTGTCGTAGTTCCGGCCAATCACGTGGAACATTGTCGGCTGCGAATCGCGATCTTTATTCGGAAGTACAAGATTAAGTCCATACCGCGTGGAGAATCTCTGGAGAATGTTGGACACGGTAGAACTCCCTGCCTTGTGCACTTTTAGAAAAGCTACATATTTCTTCTTTTCGCACTTTTGTTTGATGTTGAATTGTAACATGGATTGTAAAGTATTTTTATAAATGGCTGTATGAGAATATTGCACGTCATTATAAGCCAATAATAGACAGAAAAAACAGCATGCTCCTAGTCTGTAAAATACAAATAACCATTAAAAGTTAAAATCTGTTTATTCAGGGCCCTTATTCAGGAAAACTTAAACTAAGATACAATCGAAATTTTAAGAAATACTGCAATTCGATTGGCTGACCAGTAAAATCAATTTGCATATATCCAATGAAGTTGCAGTATTTCTTAAAATTTCGGTTGTAACTTACTTTAAGTTTTCGTGAATAAGGGCCCTGATGTTAACAGTTTTTATATCTGACACGTAGTTTTGGAGGTCAGGTCTAAATATTAAGGCCACCTGCTGATTTTGTCATGGTCACGAGATGTAAACAGGGTTAGGGCACGTGATTGTTGCCGAGGATTGTGGGTTAGGGTTAGGGCTTGGTCTAGGGTTAAGGGTTAGCGCTAGCTCAGTTTACATCTCGTGACCATGACAAAATCTGCAGGTGGCCTTAATATTTAGATCTAGCCTAGTTTGGGCGTGTACAGTTGTCGCCCCTGCCCACCCGTCTGAGGGGTTTGGTGGGATTAGAAGTGGGCGTGGTTGCGGCTCATTATCCATGAAATGAAATGGGGTGTTAACGTCACACTGCTCTGTTCCGACTCGGCTAATAATGAAGACGGCTATACGCCATACGGTGTGCTGTGGAGGAAATTTTGCCGAATTCCAACTGTCAAGGGTTCGTTTACATGCACGCCAATGTATACACGGGGTTTTTCGTCCCATCCGAGCGACTAGACAGCTGTCCTTGTCAGGTCCCCCGCCCTGCATCACTGACAAGGGGGAACCACGCCGGAAAATCACGGGACCTCGGTTTTTTGTTCCATCCGAACGACTAGACAGCTGTCCTTGTCAGGCCCTCCGTCTTGTATCACTGACAAGGGGGAACCACGCCGGAAAATCTGAATGAACTTTCTAGGCCAATGCAGGGATCGCACACCCGACCGCAAGGCTAACGAGCCAGCGTCTTACCCACTTAGCCGCCGTGACCCCCACCCCCACCCCAGTAATCTCAATCATCAGAAATATTGTCTCGGAGCTTCTGGCTTTACAAAAAAAAAATTCCCGCGTAACCCCCCCCCCCCCCCCATTGCAAAGATGTCTCCACCTTGGACCCCCACCCCCGCCCCTCCAGTCCTTCCCCCAGCCCGCTGGACTTGATAATATATCTACATGTACTTACAAGATTACAAAGAGTTCAGTATGATTCTTCTTCGCCATTGGAAGTGTGTCTGTGAAAGTATATTACACAATTTAAAGTTGTGTTGTTAAAATATTTAATTAAAACAGTCTTTCAAATAATCGATAATAATATGGAAAACATTTTAATAAAACCCGTGGGTCGCAATAAATATATGCTTTAGTATATTTAATTACATTACTCGCACTTATATATAAACACGTTTCTTTTACGTAAATAAATGAAATGAATTGAAATAGGGTTTAACGTCCTACTTTTTTGCACAGGCTGGGTTAATGAAGATTGGTATAAATGAAATGCAATGAAATGGGGTTTAACGTCCTACTGTTCTGCTCCTAACCTGGGCTGATGAAGACGGGCATACGCCATACAGTGTGCTATGAGGGAAATTTTGCCCGGACAGCGGCACTACGGCCTACTCTTATATCGAATTCCAACTGTCAAGGGATCTTTTACGTGCACGTCAATGTGTACGCGGGACCTCGGATTTTCGTCCCATCCGAACGACTAGACAGCTGTCCTTGTCGGGTCCTACATCACTCCATGACAAAGGTTCTTTTACGTGCACGCCAATGTGTAGGCCTACACGGGATCTCGGTATTTTGTCCCATCGAACGAGTAGACACTGTCCTAGCCAGACTCTTCGCCCTGTACAACCACACCAGAAAATCCCCAGGAACTTTCTTGGGAAGGAATCCGCCAGTACCTCCTTGCTAGGAAGCCAGCACCGTACTGTGCCATCATGGCACCAGATCATACTAAACTTAGGCTGCCTGTTTACAGTTACCTCCGCTTGAGAAAAGACACTAAGCTAGTTGACCGACATTTTAAGTCCTAAATCGACGATTTTAGTCGAAAACACGAAGTATACTTGAAGAATTTTGTTACTTATTTATTCTGCTTCCATTTAATTCAATTGAAAAAATTGATTTAGTCTTTGTGTGTATGCTAGGTGTGAAACGGATTAGAACTACATTACAAAACAATAAACTAATATTTGGATATGGTGGCCATTTAGGACAGAGATCTATTCTCGAGGAATGAAGTAGATAATCTCTGTGTGCGGAATGGTCTCCAGATATGATTTTAAATATAGACCTACCTGGAAAGTTGTATAACAGGTTCATCATTATTATATAAATATGGAATACTTTAATCAACTGATGTCTTCCTATCCTGATTATTCCTCCCACGTGTGGCTTTCAAGTTCATGATATAATCACCGTGATTGTAATTTTCTAGTTTAGCCGGTGAGAACTGAAATAGGGTTTAACATCCTACTGTTCTGCGCCGACCGGGCTGATGAAGACGTACATACACACCGAGAACTATTAGAGACTAAGTATACCTGTCATATTCATATTTTCGACAGGTGATAACAGGTGAAAACAGGTGTTATTGACAGGTATCGATGTTGGAATCTATTTTAATAAAATTCTTAACCTCGATCCATATAATTTAAATTAAAATCTGCCGACGCCATCGCAGACAATAAAAGCTAATTAGCGAAAGATCAATAGTTCAAACTGTCCATTCATATTTTCTTATCAGTTCTCAATACGAATAGAATATTACTAGCATGAATTTGAATACCGTGCGGGAATTTAATATCAAAAATAGCGAGGAGCGTTTTTTTTTTCTGTATTCAGAACACGATATGCCACATAACATAAAAACTATGTATGGGTGTATGTATGTAGTATATATGGGTGTATATATGTAGTACGTGTATATTTAATGAAAATTATGATGTATATATGGTATATATGGGTATATATATGATGTATATATGTAGTATGTATGGGTGTATATATGTAGTATATTATGATGTATATAAGGGTGTATATTATGAGTGTATATCTGATGTATATATGTAGTATATATGGGTGTATATATGTAGTATATTATGATGTATATAAGGGTGTATGTAATAATGTATGTAGTATATATGATGTATATATGCGTGTATATATGTATTATCTATGATTTATTTATGGGTGATAGATGTGTATATATAGTGCACGTATTGTATATACAATATGTAGTATATGGATATAATATACAAACCAAAATCCTTACCCCATTTTAATTCTGTACCATCACCACTAACCACTGCTTTTATTCTGTACTGTCGCCACACACCACATTCCCCGTGCCATCTTTATGTGGTATTATTCATTTATTGCCACCCACCACATTTCCCGCGCCATCTTTATTTCGTACTATTGCCACCCACCAAATACCCAGCTGTGCCATCTCACCCACCCCCAATCCAACCCAAAACCCACCCCACTCCAGTAAATATTTAAATAAAATAACAAAATAATAAAGTTTTGACTTTTCAAAAATTTTATAAGCATTTGAAATCCTCTAATAAATATAATACATAACTCACGACAAGAGTTCAATATAATGAAAAAAAAAACAGCTGAACAATACAACAGAAATGATGATTGGAAAAAAAAAGTCTTTGCATGAGAAATTAATAAATTTATGTCTTAAATGCATTTAATTTTTTAGATAAAGAGCTGGCCGTTCTTGTTATAATAGTTCAAAAATAGATAATGCAAAATGAATATATTGAAAATTTCATTCAAATTACTCTATTGCGAGTGAAGATATTAGCCTTTGATGGTTTGACAAGATGTGTGCATTGATCGTAACCACTGTACTGACTGTTCACGGCATAGCCTTGTTTCACCGTTTTTAGATTAAATCATTAAATGGTTGAACCGTTCTAATCTATTTAACATCAGACCTATCCGATGGCATGAAGACTTGATTATGGTCTGGATAGGTTAATTAATGTCTAATTAATAATTTAGATAACATTTCAGGCCTAAAGAAAGATATGCAATAGGCAGATTTAACTCTTGAATAATGTAGACTATGTTTAATAAACAATAAAACTTCATATAATACGTTTATTTTTGTAGACATATTTTAAAGTACAAATTATAATAAAATGACTCCTTAAAGTTAACTTGTGTTGAGAGAAACCTGGTCCTAGCTCGGCCACCCTCCAGCCTGGATTGATGCATCTAATTCAGTTCTGGTGTTTTAAAGCTGTGAGGGTGTAATCTTGATCTTCTATATCAGTGCGGATGTAGCTTCGATCGCACCAACCCAAATTAAAAAACCCTTTTGTATGTTTAATAAAAAGGACTACCAATTAAGACTTTTGTTCATTATTATTACAATAGTACTTGACAGTCTGCTAGATCTTTTCTCAAAACTTCAAACACACATAACTTTGCACAGAATAAAGTAATTAAACTGAAATGTTTAATATCTATTTTTGAACAATTATAGCAAGTACGACATGCTCTTTATTTAAATCATATAGAATACATGTTTAATGAGTGAGAAATGATATATCTGATAAAGGAACACTATGCAGACATTAGATACATCAGGCCAAAACTGGTCGCAATACATTTCAATTTAAAAGGGCATACGAGTAGAAATGATATGATTAAAATTATAGAGCTTTTTAAGACTGACCCAGATAATGGCAAAAATGATGCAATTAGAAAAGCCCAAAAATTTAAATGGATTCACACTTTAAGATGGCATTAACAATAAGATATAGTCCCGAAGTGTCTCCATTCGCACCGTATGGCATTAACGATAAGATATAGTCCCGAAGGGTCCCCCACTTTATTGTTTAATTGAATAATTTGATGTAAATGTGTATATAGGGCTGGATTAAGGAATGGTCTTTAGGGGCTGAGACCACCGCAAGGTGGAGGGTTTACTGAGATTAAGGAATGGTTTTCAGGAGCTGAGACCACAACAAGCTGGAGGGTTTATAGACATTAGGTGAAAGTTATTTCATTTGTGAATGCTGCATCAAACTGTTATGTGCTCTAAGAAAAGGTTCAATTAAGGCCGTGCAAAAAAAATTATGGTTCTCAGACAGCCTTTACCAAAAACCACGCCCCTCGACTCATTAACAGAACCTCCCCCCCATCCCCCCATCCACTAACAATAGCCGAAAGGTTTACAAAATCTTATCCAGTACGTCACTCGACTCAATAACAGACCCCCTCCCCACCCCCCACTACTACCAATAGCCCACGGGTCTACAAAATCTTAATCCAGCTCGTTACTAGACTTAATAACTGACCCCCTCCCCACCCCCACTATTACCATTAGCCTACAGGTCTACAAAATCTTAATCCAGCTCTGTATACAACCATTAAATATAAACATTAATTAATTAAAGGAATTATGTTATACACGTTGATAAAGATATAAATATGCGAGATCTTTAGGTGGTGTCACAGACTTAGCTACTTTCTCATCATTAAATATCACCCATTGTCCGTCCTTCAATATATGACACACATAATGTCCGACACTAGTAGATGTTCCCATATGACTTATAAATGCTACTAATTTATATTCTGAAAAGAAAAAATGAAAAATAAAATAGAACCTCAATTTAACCCCTTGCAAATTACATGGTTCAATGTTATTTCAATAATTTGTTTGAGCGTAGGGGTCTATAGTAGGTGGAGAAAGAAGTGGGAGGGAACTGGAAGGAACTGGAGGACTAGGAGAAAACCCATAAGGTTGGACAGGCGACCAGACTCTATTTCTTGTCACGTACAACCGGGGAATCGAACCTTGAACCTGCAGGTTCACTAGGAGATTGTCACAACAATGGCTTGATTCCTGGTTTCACTTTCGATTTTTGGAAATTTTCTTTTGTTTAACTTTGCCATGTTTATTGAATGGAAAGAAAGACAGATAAAGAAATGGGGTTTAAGTTCACTGGACACAAACTAGGTCATTTTGGCACTAATATACGATTCACTTTTATTTCAATAATTTGCTTGAGCGTAGGGATCTTTAGCAGTGGGAGCAAACCAGAGGACCCGGAAAAAACTCACAAGGTTGGACAAGCGACCCTACTTCTTGTCTTTGTCACGTACAAGAAGACAAATCAAAACCACTCACTTGACTCATTGACAGCCTTTGTAATCTAAAGCACATGTTAACCATTCCCCCCCCCCCCCTCCCACAACCCCTCCATGATTTTGTCCAATGGTAAGGGTGATTATATACAATATTTCACGAATAAAATGTGTGTAAAAATATGTACTTACTTCCATTACCATCCCTAAACTTTGATTGTTGAGCTTCTGGCGTCTCTATTTCCATTGGTTCATCTAATTCCGCAGCATGACTAAATATCCAATCGGCTGCTCTCTCTATATTATTATCCTAAAATAAATAAATAAATTGAATATTGTAAATTTCTGATCCAAAGTAAATCTTTTTGCCGCTAATGAAGTAAATTTCAAAATTTACCCTGTTTTAACATTTGAAAATAAAATAAAAAATTCAACAATTCACTCTATAATTTATATAACACTTTAAAAATCTCTATAAAACTCAACCATTTGTTTTAATGGTTTTATAAACTCAATGATTTGTTTTTAAAGGTTTCATAAAACTCAACAATTTGTTTTAAAGGTTTTTATAAAACTCAACATTTTATATAACTCAACAATTTGTTTTTGGGGTTTTATATAATTCAACAATCTGTTTTTGAGGTTTTATATAACTCAACAATCTGTTTTTGAGGTTTTATAAAACTCAACAATCTGTTTTTGAGGTTTTATAAAACTCCAGTTTGTTTTTGAGGTTTTATAAAACTCCTCAATTTGTTTTTGAGGTTTTATAAAACTCAACAATTTGTTTTAAAGGTTTTATAAAACTCAACAATTTGTTTTGAGGTTTTAAATGAAATCTTACCGTAGCTTTTAAAGCTTTTGTAGCCTGTTCTTTGTTAAATCCCATGGCCATTATCATGGACAGAGCTTCATCATTAGGAATAAAAGCTTGAGATTTGGCACCAGAAGATGGAAGCTGTAGAGGAACACTAAAATCTAATGAAAGAGAAAAACATTAAAAATATTAGTTACATAAAACAACCAGCACAGAAGTCAGTGGCTGGAGAAAAACTGATAAGAAATAACCGGTGAGGCTGACCTTAAAAATATCTTTGTTTCACCAAACCCGACCCACAATCGAGGAGAAGGGTCGGTAGGTCGGTTTTTTTTTCAGATTTTTTTTTTAAAGTTAGAGAAATCAATACAGAAAACTTATTAGCTGTATACTACAGATTCATTAATTTTGTTTAATGAATTTGGGGTCTGACGTAAAAAGTAACGAACTGAAAGTTTTTTTTATTAAACTTAAGAGCTAATTTGACAGCTTAATAATTTTCCGGGTGGAAACATTCGTCTTCTTTATTCAATTGGCAAAAAAATCAATGAGTGAATGACATCGGGAACT